CGTGTTTTGCCGCGTTTTAGTATGATAAATACGACTCAATTCCATTTGTGTTTATGTTTTTGATGTCTGTTTTTGTTTGGTTTCGGACAGTAATAATCCGAAATTAATACAGAAATTGATGTCGCAAGCAATTTCATTATTTTATATGGTAGCATAAACAAATGCATTATCTCAGATTTTCATTTATTTACCTACATACATTTGTCCGTCTTAAAAGCGAAAATAGGAACACATTGAGACAATGGCATATGCTTGAACAAACAAAAAATAGGCGCGCCAAATGTGGCAATTAAGTTTTTTTCTCTTCGGTTTACTTCATGAAAATAGAACCATTCCATATCGAAGAAAATCACATCAGCATAGAAGAAACCAAAAAAACGGTTTTAAATCGGTCGTTCGTGCAAGAAAACACTTTCAGTTGATAAAAGCAATAATATGAAAGTTGCGCTGTTGGCACAAATAGAACGAATAAAAATGAGATTTTTACTGCATAAATAGAGAAAGAGAGAGAGAGAGAGCAAGAAGACACGCAGAGAAAGTCAAGTGTGTCGCAATGATAAATTATTTGCAATGTCAGATATGGTAACATTAGATAGGATGGCCGATGCATAAATTCATTAGAATTAGCCAGATTAAGTCAACGCGCGCGAGCGCAGCCATGAAAATTAATTATTTTCCACGGAAAAAATCAACTAAAAGCAGCAAGACGTCATCGTCGTTGTCGCACGAGAAAAATTCACTCTAAACTCTTTTGAGATGTTCACAATGTTGGACGTATGCATGGTGCCAATTTAAAGATCTAATGAAAATAATATCATTTCAACCGACCCAATTAATAGCCTTCTGGTTGAAATAAATTCACCCCAGAGAAGTGTGTCTGCTAGTCGAATGTTTTATATTTGTGTGGTTGTTGCTTCCAAAGCCGTAAAATGAGAAACAAATGTTTATTTGTCTGTCGCACGAAAGATATGGTCGAAGTTTTCGCATTTGCCATGGTATTTTTATGGAAATTTCGATTAGGATGGACAAAATAGAGATATAAAAGTTGGCAGAATATAACAAATATCCATTTTGACATCAACATATGTCTTGTCTGCTGTATTTTTTTATAATCCAAAGAGTCGACACATAAATACGATTGTCGCAACATCAAAGTGTGAAATGTGATTCGAAAAATATCACATCAAAACAACACACAAAGACAGAAAAACCATTCAAATAAAATAACACAAAATGGGTGCATGTGAGTTCGCGTAAATGGAATGCATAAAAACTCATTCAAAATACCTCTAACACGACATCGAAATTTTTCTTTGATGACAGTCGCATTCTAATTTTAGCATACACATCACACACACTTTTTTTTATCACCAAAAAAGTGCTATGCTTTTTTTCCTGGATGAAATGGAAGTGTGCTCGTGCCAAAATTCCATACAAATGTCAACAATCATTTGATTTCAGCAAGAAAAACACCGAGCAAAAGCTGTTTCTCCACTTAAAGCACCTTATTATGAAAAAAAGTCGTTCCATAAATAATGTTCACACGCTTGCCAAACACCCATGCATATAAAAACAACCAATTCAACAGCCATACTTTTTTCTAGCAATCTCTGAAGAGCGAGAATACGACAATGAATATTCCTTTGAAATTTGTGCTTCTTTCATTTGTTCTGTTTTTGAGTTCTTTATTATTCACAAGAATAAAAGTGAAATTGCGGATAAAAGAGAGAGAGATATAGGAAGAGTGTATGAGAGAAAATCCACAAGCAAATTTGCAACACTCTTTTTGTGTGTGTGTGTGTGTTCGTCAATTTGAAAATTTCATGCCAATGACATATACATACAATTGATTTGGCTACAATATGAAAGCGGCATCCTAATTTCGTTGGCTGGCACTTTTTCGGTTAAAAATCTCGTGTGAGAGATGGTGTAACAGCACTTATTTTTTGAATTAAACTTTTCATCGTGTTTTGCTCCAGATGTACGAAATGTTGTTAAATTTCACAATTGACGTGCATATCATCTGGATTTTATTATCAAATTACATCAGCCTTCATATAAATTTTCCTCAACCTCCATTTCACACATACTGACACAAACACGCATAACCTCGACAAAAAAATTTGTTTATTAAATTAGCAACGCTAAATTAAATACGCTACACACAGTAAAAAAAAGGCATACCAACGTTGAAAAGTGTTGAGCCGTCACACAAAGTAATGAGTGTACAGCAATATTTCCGTCAGAAATCTGTGTATGACGAAAGGTTTTTCTCGCCGTTTGGTAGATTGCAAACGGAATTGGGATTTTGGTTTGGATGGAACAATATTCTTATATATCCGACAATGGGGCGGATAAAATTAAAAAGCAACATTCAACACACTGTGAATGTGTGCAAAAAGTTATGCCACTCATATGAGACACGGAGGACTTGTGATTTGATTACATGAAATATGATGAGTATAATGAAGACGATGAATGGGAGAGGAAAAAAAGATTTCATTCATTTGTTGTCACGGGAAACAAAGGCAAACAATTGCCGTCAACACATTCGATTGTGGCTACATGGTGCTCTGGATATGTGGGATCGTTTGCCATTCAAATGGAATGGCCTGTTGTGTGTCGCACATAATATTGTGTGAACAAAACATTTGGCCTGCATAGTGTGTGTGATTGAAGCTGTGTATCAATGTCGCTTCGAGCATTGTTTTATTTATCAAGCTTACATGAATGCGTTAATTCGCATGCAATGTCAAATTGGCGGAAAATGTGATAAGCATTTTTTTTTCACAAATATGAATAAAAAATGTGTGCCAACGGTAAAATAAGGACATTCTTGATTATAAAATGTAATAAAAAATTATATTGCCACGAGGCACAAATGGAAATTTCGTTTTTCTCGCCCTCTCTCTCTGTCGCTCTTATACTCATACTTTTTTCTCAATCTCTTTCTCTCTCACTCTCCCAAAATGAATTTAATATGACGACTTTAACAAGGTTAAACACACAAACAGGAGATTGCTATTCACCTCTCACGCGTCTGAATTGAAGCCGATGAAGAAAAACACGCGGCAACATCAACAATAATGTTATTACATATAATTAAATATTTCAAGAATAACCACTCGATTCGGTAAATTCGATGCGGTCTGCGATTCAAGTAGCTGAAGTGTACAATACCTTTATACACTCAAGTACATGTAGTCTCAAAGAAACCTTTCATAATAATCATGCTCATTTGTTTGTTTCTATGGTTTTTAATTACAAACATGATGCTGAGGTGCAGGCGTCTCAATGAAAAACGTCTTCCATTTTTCATTTCGGTAATTTTCAGTTTTTGTGCAGTAGAAGCAGCAGCAGTGGCTGCAATGCATGTCAAGCGCATGACACTAATTAGAAAGTCATCAGGCATTCTTTGCTATCAAGTATTGCTGGAGTTGGAAATTCATAATAAACGACCCGGAGAAAGAGACCGACAGAGAGAGAGAGAGAGCAAATGAAAGAAATTAACGAACTGACATTCGTTGCAGATTTTCTGCACGTAAACGCAAAAAACGGCGAATCGTGCAACATTAAACCGATTACACCCTTGCAATGCAATAAAAAAAGTGTTGCATGGAATGAGCGCCGTAAAATGTTGAAAATCGAAATATTTTTATTGGTTTGATTTTTATGGTTCGCTTGCTTTAAATTGGATTCATTCCAGATTGATCTTGAAACTGGATGCACAATCACACGCTCACCACTCAGATAGCGTTCGCTTCGGTTATCATCAAGCCGATTTTATGATAATATTGCCGTCTTTGTTGCTTGCGTTGTCTGCAACCATCATGGATAATCGTGAAATTAAAATGAAATAATAAAGCCCGAATAAAAAATTGTATTTTCTTCGTCTTCTCTCTCTCTCTCTCTCTCTCTCTCTCTCTCTCTCTCTCTCTCTCTCACGTTGATGCTCAAAAGTGAAAAGGTGACATTTTCTCTATCACCAACCTCTTGAGTCCGTTGTATGCGCGAGGAAGATAATAAATGTATACATTAAATGGCATAACGACGGCTGACTTCCGAATTCGTGAAATTTGTGTGGTGGAACCCATGCAATTCGGATTTTATTTCGTTGGAAAGTGGCTGGTGTGCAAGATTTTATATTTTTATGTGGTGGCGAAACGAACGACACAAGCGAATAAAATAAACGTATTTTATGTATATGGTGACATTCAACGAAGCGATTATTTGTTATTTACCACACACAGATTGAATTTTGTATATTCCCATTTGTACGGCAGCATTTCTTATATAATGTAATGGACAACGGATATGCACGCGCACTAACTGCACCACATCAAACGTAAGAGAAATGATTTTTTTAACAATCTTCAAAATGAAAATAGATTGAGTAACCCCTTTCTTTAAAAAAAAAATCAACAATTTTGTCCACGTTCATCGCACCGTTATGCTTCGTTCGGAAAAGTCGTTTATTGTAGACAACAACAATGGCCAATTCTTTATATTGTCTATGTGAGTCTGTGCTTCAAGTTCCATTGCCAAGCAGAGCGTAAATGTCGAGGATGTTTCCATGGATTTTCTTTTTAAATTACATTATTAATATTTGATTTGGATGCGATGTTGTAATTTTGCGACGATGACATCAACCGTTCATGAAAATTAAATTTAAATCCGTACACGGGTACAAGATTAATTTTCTAATTTGTTGTTTGAGTATATATTTTCATTTTTATCTAATCCACTTTTTAATAACAATTTCGAATAATATTTAATCTCAAGCTTAAAATTTCAAATAAACATGGGGTCAATCACGAAATTCTAGTGTATCTAGTTTTTAATAAGATTTCACTAGAAAACTAGAAAATTCTAGTGCGTGAAGTTGGCTCTCAGTAGTTTTTCATATAAATTATATGGCCTTTGGTGTGAAGTTGGCTTCGTTTGTGACGTCATTATTCGCACTAGATTTACTAGTTTTTCTAGTATTTACTAGCGTGATTCGCCCCATGCAAATAAATATAGATTTGTGTGTTTGTGTTTTTTTTTTAGAAAATTGAGAATTAATTTAGAGCAAATATGAATATTTCGTTTAAATTTTTGGTTCGAAATAAAGAACTTGACACAATTTCAATAAATGATGACAATAAATAAATGGTTAGAAACAAAATACAATAAAAAAATAAGTATAAATACATGTAATAGTCATATATGCCAAGTGTATTTTTTCTTCACTTATTGGCGATTTTCGATGGTACAGCTAATTTGGATGCAGTGATTGTTTTGCGTGGAGCCGTTCCGGTTGCAATCGACGGAGTACCACTTGTAACTTTGGCCGTAGTTATGGTTCGACGTGAAACTAGCGCTGGGCGTTTTACTGATGTTGATGGGGTCGTTGTCGGCGTTGCCGATAAAAGTGTTGTTTTGGCTGATGCAGCCATGCTACTAATACGGCTACTAATTGACGCTGTTTTACGAACCAATGCAACTTTTGATAGTGCCGCTGCACCACCAACTGGTGTTGCCGTCGTACGGGGCATGGCACTACTATTTAATCGTGACACTGCAGGTGATGCGACGGTTTTTGTGGACAAACGGCTAACACCAATGCTTGCACGACGATTTAATACTTCTGGACGTGCTGAAAATAAATCAAAAAAATATTTGATATGGTTAAATGTTCGATTCAAGTTGGTTTGTACATTTTAACTGGATAATTAAGTTACCGTTAGCAGTGACTTGCAATGTATTTCGACTATTTAACATTCGGGACACTTGTGGTTGACTAATAGTACGCTTGCGAATGCCATCACTCGACAATGATGCTTTTTTCACCGACATCATACCATTTTCAGCTGCTGTAATATCATGTGTCAAGTTTTTGGTGATGTTTGATTTCATTGACAACAATGCGTGATCGATGGATTGACGTGCTTTCATCAAGTGCTGTAGAATAAAAAAATAAATTCAATTTTTTTCCCTCTCGTCTCAATGAACCAGTTTTAAACACTCACATCGACAACGTTAGCCTCACGCTCAAATGACAGGGAGATATTTTCGCTGCTGTGCGGACTCGATGTGAATGGGCTCTTTGGACTGCCAAATGCTTCTGTGTTTACAGTTTCATTTAATGCTGTTGTTTGGTCTGAGACAGTCACTTTTGGTACGGTATCGTTGTTTAAAGCCTTTGAAAGACAATCGAATTTGATTTGAGTTGAAGAAACGAAATCTATTAAATGAAAAGTAAACGAAAATTACCGCTGATTCAGTTGGAGTTACATTCATCGAACTCATCGGCGTAATTAAATTCAAATCATCAACGTTTATATCACCGCTGCCGTTGCCAACATTGTCGTTGCCAGCATTACCACCCTTTTCATTAGCCAAAACCGATGAGATGTTTGTGTTCTCGATAGTTCGCAGAATGCTAAATTTCAAATGAAACATACAATGGTAATTAATTTAGAAATTGGCACAACATATACATACAAACCTTTTCATATCCACATCCATTGCAGCATCATTTGTATCGAGTGCTTGTGTGTTATTCTTATATTGATTCAATAGCACTTGTGTCAAAACATTTGTTAGCGCAATTGATTTCGTTGACAACATCGGTAGCAAATTTGACGATGCATCGTGATCAATTTGCGAATCGGGATTCTGAAGGAATAAATATTGATTTCGATTTGGTAATTTTCTTTCATTTTTATCTCTCTCGTTTGGTTTTCTTCAAATTTGCGCGTGCAATTGACAACGACAACGACAACGAGAAAAAACAAACACTTACAATCAATGAAGTTATGGAACGTCTTTGGTTGACAAATGAGCCGCTGCTCTGAACTTCCCAAAATGAATTTTGCTCATCGTTTGCTTCACGTTTTGGACATGAGCATGCAATCATTCTCGATGGTGAATCGGGCGCTTGAGTTGTATGTGCTTGTGTGTCGACGGCTGTTGTTGGCGTTGTGGTTGTCGATGAAGCAGCTGTTGTTGTTTCACAATCATTGAATCGCAACGATAAATTCGATACGATTTTCGATTTACTGCATGAAATTTCCACATTGATGTAGTGCTGCTGGTCAGTTGCAGCAATAGAAGCAGTCGATGCATTACCATCGGTACGAACGGAATTTGCTGTTGCCGATGATGCAGTCCCATTTTCATTTGATTTTTTATGCCAACAACGAGCATCATCGTAATCAATTGATTCTAAACGAAATCCAATCGACTTTAAAAGCAGCGTCAATTCTCTAACATCCATTGTCAGCAACTGTGTGTGTGTGTGTGATCGAGCGAAAAACAACGGTTTGATATTTTTTATTATTCCAGAAAGAATGAAGAACATATTTTTTTCATTGAAATTCAACATGATCAATATGAAAGCAAAAATTCCATGAAAAATGAACGACAGATTACCTTGGATTTCGGTGAATTTTTTACAGACCGTTCAATGTCGGGCGCCATTGTGCAAATACAAGAACACAAAAACAATAAACTTCAATCAAAACGGATAAATATACAATCGGTTGAATGTTTAAAATATGCAACAAATATTTTTTTTCTTTTTAAACAAACAATAATCAACAAAAATTAAACAAAACTAAACGATTCGACATAAAATGAAATTCATAATTCACTGATTCTTGTTTTTCTTCATTCGTCTGAGATATGTTTCACCGACGCATGACCGACGACAAAATACTGACTAATCGTAATATAAGAGTTTCGATAATGATACTCTCTAACGGAATTTATGCGTGTTTTTTTTTTCTTTCTCTCTTTCTTTGTTTCATACTTTGCATTACATTTGTTTTGCTGCATTCGGTCAATTTTATGTGTCGCACTTCATCAGTTGTGTACAAGTGTCATTTGTATGTGTGCGGGTCTCATTCGGTTTTCGATTGTATGCAAATCACTCTGCCAAATGTTTATGTATAATGAGTTTTGTGTTTCGTTCTATTAAAATTCCTCTCTCAATCATCGTATGAAATCAAAGCGAACGAGAATGAAATAAAACAAACGCACAAATATTTTTGCCATATTTTTCACATCCGAATCGTGACCAAGACACTAAAATAGCTATTTGTTGCATACATTTTACATTATTCAGATTGACATCGAGTTATTTATCGTACAAAATTTTGTTTTCGTGACGTTCAATGATTTGGTGGCTTATTCACTGCCATGTCTGCACGGATGACAGCAACCGCACATACACGCTCACATTTACCCAAACAAAAGAGTTTAGCGTGTTGTATGGATTTGTATGCATTGTGTTTGGAAACTTGGCATGAAGAGCGCCGTGTATGAGCTGCAAAGTGTGCAGTGCACACAATAATGTAAATATTTGAATTGCTCGTCGAAAATCTCGTCGTCTGTTGTCAAGCCACCCGAATTCAAGCTAAGCACGAATAAATATTTTACCTCAAAATTTGTTGATTGATGCAAAGCCACCCAAAATGTCTTCTTTGAATGGTCGGTGTACACAACTGGCATCATAAAATGATGGGGTCTATCAAAGGACGGTCATTTGTTAAGATAATCCTTTTTTATATCTTTTCAATGCTGTTCGGCTCTTTTCTGTCATGCACATTATAAAAATACACACACAAAACGGTTTTTGTTTGGAAAACCATTTGACCAAAATCAGCAGCCGAATGAAATAATGGATATGTTGCTGACTGCTGCTGGGACATTGTTTAATTTAAAATTATTATATAAATCAAGTGTGTTTCCATTCGATAGATTCAACTTAAATCTTTTACTGGACGTATGTGAAATTCTTAAAAGGGTTTTGTCGACCGAATGAAATGCTCGGATTTAATATTGTTTTTTTCAATGGAATGAACAGCACACTCAGCCAAACTCGAATGCCATTAATTCTCATGATGCATTATGGATTTTATGTTTCTTCATCCGAATGATACGCAGAGTGTTAAATATCCGTTTATTACCACTTCATCAGCGCTTCGTTATCGGAGCATGGTGGACAATAAATTGCGAAATATGATTGTTTCGATAAAAACAGACCAAAACTTGTTAAAAGGGACAGATTGTCGCCCGCTTGTAGTGAACGTTGTTTCATTTTTTGTTCTTCCTCTCTGTTTCTTGGTCTCTCTCTCTCTCTCTCTCTCTCTCTCTCAATCTTTATCTCTTTTTCTTCGCTTCTTCTTTATATGTTTCTTGCTCCGTTTGTCCATCGTTCTCATCAAAAGCGATATGTAACTACATGACAAGTTTGCTAAAGAATCAGATATGAGTAATTCTCAAGCGATTCAACTGGCGAAAAGTGGGAAAAAACCAAAAACTTGGAATACGGGCTGGTCTGAAACGACGACAATGAAATCAAAAGCCACAAGTTTTAAGCAACTTTGCACGTTAACATGAATAAGTGATTGCATTGCACGTTGACAAAGTAATCGATTACGAACATTATACAATGTATTTCATTTTCACTGTGTGTGTGTGTCTGCAAGTATCTTGGTTGCTTGCAAACTTTGTGCCGGATGAAAATGTCATTGTTACTCTTTGATTATTTTACGAAACTTTTTGGCACATAAAATCCATCAAAATTGCACAATGAACAAAGCATCGTCAACGTTCTGTTCATAGGATTTCGGGGTTGCCTCATCAAATAAAATGCCACACATTTTTGAAACAAGTACAAAAAAAATCGGAACCACGTTTTTTTGCTCCTATTCAACGAAAAAAAAAATATATATATCCACTCTATACGTAAACTTGATTGCCAACATAAGCAGAAAATGTCACTAAGCACACATTGAAATTTTTGGCTTTTCAAAAGTGAGAGCTCGAAAAATGTATTTTGCAGCCTACAGCTTTCCCCGGAAAACGAGAGTATAGTGAAAAAGGCAAAGAGAGAAAAAAACATTTTTCATCATCTGATATCTGGGCAATATCACGTCATTTCCACCATTTTCCTGCTACTGTCATACTCATCGCCTTATCAATTTAATACCCGAAACAGCAGCCCCTGTACACGACCCAACTGACAATGTCACGGAGCACAACTTTGTGTTTCTCAACATGCCTACACACACTCGCCATACACATAACACCAAACAGCCTTCTTTTTTAGCCAACTTTTATCACAATATTATTAATATATATATTTTTTTTATTTGTTTGACTTCGTCATCGTTTTCATTTTGTATGTATCGTGTTGCGGTTCCGTCATCTTGATCACATATTATATTAAAAAGGCGATTGATGTTGTGGAAAACTTTTGTTATTGTTTGCTCGAAATTGAAATTTCATACTTTGACGCAAGTTCTTGAGGAATTTTTCCGACAATTTATACTTTTTTCAATATATAAATGATCGATTTTTTTTGAGTTTTCAATAATCTAAACTCGTTTTTATTATTGAAAGTTAAAATACTTCTATATATTGGGTTGAGAATTTGTTTTACAACAATTTTCAACAGCGAAGTTTATCTTTTAGTCTGTATTTCTACGAAGTTTTCGTGTCGCGGCATGTGTGGATAAATAGCTTTTTCACAACAGACAATGCACAACTCTCAGACAATGTTTCATTTTTGTAGCTGACAATGTTCGGTTTTCAACTTCATAAAATTATGTTAAACGACTTGTTGGTAATGGTCGAAAAATGGATGCAGAAATACTTTCGGAAGTTGCAAAATGGACTGTGATTTTAATCATAATGTAAAATCTCATATTGTAAATTGGCAGCGATTGACTGTTACAAATCGTAGCACATATTTTCTACTTCTTTTTTTTCGTATCTCATCTCATTTGGGTCGGGACGGAATTGAGTTAAAATAAAAGGGAATGGCAGAAAAAAGTGCAGAGAAAATTGAGAAAAAAAGGGAGAACGAGAATGGGAGAGAAAGAAAAGTAACGCATTAAATCTGATTGGAATTCATAACTTTGTCGTATAGGCAGTCACGCTGCCAATCAGATGATTGAGCTATATTTTATCTCCTCTGCAATTTTCTATGTGTTCGATTTTCAGTTGTCAAGTAGCAGTAACTGCAACAACAACAACAATGTAGATAAAAAAAAATTGTTGACGTCGAAACCACTTCCATTATTATATTGGATATTTTTTGCTGCTTTAAATCAAATCTATCTCTACACAAACCATGGTATGTAAATATGAATGAAATAAGTTACATTTACCATGGAAAAATGTTCACGAATGCACAAATCAACACACACATATAAATAATGTTCAATTTTTGTTCGTTTTTTCTATTTTTAAAATGGAAAAATCGGAAATTCCCAATGTAATAGCATAAAATCATTTTCGAGTATATGTCGTCTACAAACCAGTTGGCAGCATCAGCAAATCGCATTCAATATGCACGAGTGTGAAAATTGTGAGTTTTAAATGCACGTTTGCCAATCGATTTTACAAGAATATAAAATTGAATTTTTTATTCATGCATGTTTATCGTCTAACCATTTTCCCTTTCTTGACTCTTTTTTTCGTTTTCGTCTCGAAGAAATAATCACACATTGAATAGCACAGCTGAAAATAGCATGATCAAAAGCAAAAGAGCAAGTATTGTAGAAAATTGAAAAAAATTACGGAAAACAGAGGGAGTGAAGGGACAGATACAAAGAGTGTAAATCCATTTGATGGGTGTTTGATTAAATGAATGATGATTGCTAAGCTCATTGCTTAACAACTATTTGCTATTGTCTGTTCATTTCGACAACGATTTCAAAAATGATTATCCCATTGCTATCGAAATAATTAGTAGGGCATCCTGCGAGCCGCATACAATGTGACGTTGACCTGACAAAAACAATGGCCAAACCATTGTCGACTGTACATTTTCATCTCGTCGTTTGCAACGATCGATATCAACAGCTCATTTATATGTTGAAAGAGACCCTGTACAACCGGATGGAAATAAGCAAAAAAAACGTCACAAGAACAATGAGAGAGCGTGCAAGTAAATCACGAGAGAGAAAAAAAATTTCAGATGAACGACGAATAACAAAACAAAAAAAAAATCAAACACTAGCAACAGTAAGAGACAGCAGCGACAAAGCATTCCTGCATCTCGGGCAATGGAAACAGGCGACAACAGCATAAAAGTATTTTCATTCTTTGACGGAATACGATGAAAGAAAAGTAAAAAGAAAATCCCCCGGCCAAAATGCTCAGTGAAACTTGATGTATTAATGAAGCCGTCGATGTTGTTTTTCGCATTTTGTTTCGTTTTCCCTTTCATTTCTCTCTTTTCTCCGGTATGTGAGTGTTGTTGATAGCTTTATGGAATAACTTTTTTCTACTTTCTTTTTCGTTTTTTTTTTCTCTCGTTTTCTTGTAGTTTTTCTCTGTCGTTGTTGTAGCTGCGTATGCCCTTGTTGATTGTCGAAGATGGAAAAATTATATGTGGATCACGTATATCGTATGCATGTTAAGCTTTCTCCCCTTTTTGCTTGGGCGCATCGCCCAAAAGTCAAACACTGCACACAAAATCCAAATAAAAAAAATGTACATCTAAATAAAGGAGTGACATAGAGTTTGCAAAAAGCGTCAGCCATGGAACGCGGCGTTGAATCGGCCAAATAGAAAATCCAAGAATCAACATCAATTGAAAATGTTCCTTAATGACATGTATGTTTTGTGTAGCAATTCGTTTGTAAGCCGAACGACGAACAAACGACTGAATAAAATCCCGAATGAGTAAGC